CTCGATTCCCGGACGGCGCATTCTTGATGCCACCAGCTTTCAGAATTAGCAGTGTATTATAATTTCCTTGACCGTTAGAGTCTCGTCACTCGCCTTGGCTGCAATGATCATATCATCGACAGACAGGTATATGTACACAACCCCCATCTTTAGATTCGAATGCGAGAAGACAGATTTAAGATGACTATCTGCTACTGACGCACTCATCCGCTCCACAGCTTTTAGTTCCGTTCTTCTTGGAGTCATGATAAATTGTCTTATTCCACGCACTTGCAGCTGGCTTGAGTCCATACATGGCCTTGTTCAACTGGCACGCAAAACGTTGAGATCCCTTGACACCAAGCGAGATCCCAATCAAACACGATCAGACGGCAAAATATAATAAGGGTGCTTGCTGGTAATGTTCAGCTGCTCCATCTTGTAGCCAGATGCTACACAAACCTCCAGGTCAGCTTTATTTGATATTTACGTTTCAACGAAATTAAAGCCATGTTTTGGCTAAAAACCCTTAGCTATCAATTGCACTTTGTAACGCTCCGCAACACTGATAGCGAAAGCAAGAACAGCTTCTGCTATAAGGCCGGCCTCGTCAATCCTCGCACTCTCTGGGGATGGAACGTCGTTTTCTATCGATTTTTCTCGGCATCTGACCTGTTCAACAAGATCGACAACGGTTTGCGTGCACGCCTTGAACGCTCAGCTTGAGGTTGGAATACCAACTGTTATTTGGTTGCAACATTTCAGCAGAAGCTTGGTAGATTAATTGATTTTTCTGTGCGTACAAGGCAAGAGTAGCGGACCATATATTGGTCTAATACTAAATTTTGACGCCTAGGGCAATGATGTCCGATGCCATGGCCTCAATCACGAGTCGCGTCTCCTCCCCAGCAGCGGTCTCATTTTGAGCTCCAGATTCCAGCAGTTGCCATACCCCAGGACGATATTCGGTACGTTTAATAGTTATGGTGGTGTGGGTGCCGTTAAATTCGGTACGTTTAATAGTCATGGTGGTGTGGGTGCCGTTGAGCGACGCTTTGTTGCGGTTGTAAACCGGTTGAGAAAATGGCAAAAACAAACGGAATATATTATATAAGTTTTCTCCTTCGTTATTTCAGGCTACCTTTATGCCTACTGATTGTAACCTGGCTTATTTAGATCAATGATTATCTTTCAATGCGTCTGTAATTATTATCGATATCCATGACAGTAATAACGTAATCCTCGTAACGTAATACAAACGCATTTAGCGGTAATTATACAACATCATTGTTTCTTTACCAGCTTGGCAACAGTACTGAAAACGCCTTCGACGTCAATGGTCCTGTACCTTTTCATTTAACTGCCTCTAACTACAAGTAACCAAACCAAACAAAGCCTTCATCGAGTGTTTCCCAGAGTGCCTTCACATTTTGACCGCGATTTGACAGGCATTAGTGTATTACACATCACCGAAAAATTGCTGATCTAAATCAATGAAAAATTCAGCAAGCATGTAAAGTGCTAGTATTAAGCTGCAGAACGTCAGGCATTTCGCCATGTGACCACACATCAGTGACTGTAAGGGAAAATAACCATCGGACGAAAATAATCTAAAAAACATCTGAGATCGACATGTCATGCAATCTGAAGAGATCGCTTACCGGTTTACAGTCGAAGATAAGGCCTGATCGCTTTCTTAAGTGACTGCATTCAGAAGGATCCTTAAGTGCGTATCCGTATCTAGTTTTGTTTATCGAAATAAGATACATAGGCGCTGTAACTGCATTCAGGGATGAGACAATAAGCGATGCGGTATAGATCGATCCCTACAATAAACAGTCTCGTAATCATAAAAATTTTGCTCTCAGCAGGTACGTCTGGAAAAGTTAAAATGCATGTAACGTAATAAGCGTAAATAACAGCAACTAAAGTGGCGATTTCTCAATCGGAAATTATAACCTCCATACATGAGCAAGTAATTTCTAGAAGCAGATCATGGAAGCTACTGGCATGACGTCAAATGTATATTACACTTCGATCAAGACAGATTAGCGACTTAATGCCTCAGTTGAAAGAAGGTTATCTTTAGGTATCATAAACGCTCCCAGAAAAGTTTAATTGTCGCATCTTAAAGTGTTTGTCATTTTTCTCGTTAACAATCAGAGACATATGCAGAGACTAATTTTGCAACATCGCGATAACGTTCGAGCCGTATGTTTGCCACTGTCTCATAGATGGGTATATGACAGTTTTAAGTATAAACAGATACAAATGCTGGCAGTATTTTCTGGGCTGAGAGAGAAAAAAGTGATGGTTGCATATTTAACTTGTAGAAATGGCCAGTATCAGAAACTCAATTCAAATAAATCTCACTTCAAGGCGATTTTGGATCATACTCCTTAGCCTCAGATACTGCACTCTCGAGTTTATAGCTTACCCCCGGGTCCAACTACATTTATATCATGACAAGCCAAGAGCGAGGATCTTTCGGTAAAGCAATCTTCTCATTCGGAATGAAGAAACGTTCAACTGTACAGTCAGAGCATAAAATGCTTCTAATGGCAGTCAACAAAGCCACAACTGCACGATGCTTCTACATCGAAGTCGTAAGATGCTGTCAACCAACTACTACTGTAACACGAAAGTGTCACAGAATAGTCTCATTCTTACAGCGTGGCTAGCAGCATTAGTGGAATAATGTATGTCTTCTAGATCGTTTTATGGACGACATCGCCGACTGCCATGATTCCATCAAGTTGTACATCAGTCAATCGCCCTATCGCCAAACCGTACCCAGTTTCCATAAGCGATAAATCCGAATTTAATTTAGAGCAGTAGCTCAAGCACAACAATCTTCGGTCTGTTAGATCATTGATCTACTCGACAACAAAAATTGTTGGCGTGTATACAGACATTGAGGTCATTGTAACGTGATTAGTGTGACAGCGTAGCTGGTGCTAAATAAAAAAGACACAACCCCAAAAGCGGCTTGCGGAAGCAAGACAAATTTTTTGAGAAAGTCAATGGCTTACCAGGGCTGTGCTATCTCAAAGCCACTCTAAGCTTTGATGAAACACACAACGGGACTCTTACGTTCTCATTGGACCTTGAACAGCCCTAGGGTGGTGAAACCTGTACCGGGGTAAATTACAAAAAACAAGTAGAAAATTATTAGGTATAAGTTATATTTGATTAGAGAGATGTGCATCGAAAGGAGGGAGAGACCTGTTTGACACGTGTTCTGCTATGACGCATTGCATTTACCAGACTTGTAATTGAAGATCTCAATCGTTTATAATAAATACTAGTTAATAAATTTCATTTGTACCACTTTACAATCTGGGTAGTGTCAAGTACTTGGAAATTTGAAGGATGTTGTTTTCAAGGTCTTTGGGACAGTAGTGAGATAAGCCTCTGTTTGTCAATTTACGCGAGCTCTACAATTTGTATTCTTCCTCTGTGCAAGGTTCAGCAGTGGCATTGTCACATTGTAGCTGTCATTAGAACTTCTAAGCAATCAAACAATCATGTATAGAAGACTGCACTCTGTGGGGATGGAAAAATATATTTACCCATCTTAACCCGGTCAACAAGACACACTTTTAAAGCTTTGTGGCTCTAAATTGACTGAAAGGGGGTGACTCAAGAAATTTTCTCTCGCCTGAAAACTTTAATTGGCTATGACAATGGACTTGTGAGGTTCTCCAGAAAAAGACCAGCCATACGCCGGTAAAATAACCGCCAATCTCTGCAAATATATACAGAGAGAAAATGCTCTGAAAATTTTGAATAGCTTTGAGAAGTAGCCCCGGACACGAGAGATAAAGTGCCCGTTGAATTGATCGAGTCAGAGAGACAGCGCGTTATGAACAATAATGAACAGTATCGTCTGGTTTCTAAAAGATTGAGATATTCCCGACATCAATAGATTTTATACGACGGTTTGCTCTGCCTTTTCCGACCTGCTGGTTGCCATCATTTTTTTTGCCACCTGACAGGGTAAGAGCGAAATGTCCAAGAACTGAGAACGCTAATGGGCGTGTCGAATTTTTCAAAATTGGTAACCCGAGTCACCGCACTGGTTAAATTCACACAGAAGCCTCCCGCCTTCATCTTGCCTTAGAAAGCGCGTGAACATCGCATAAAATCATTTGATATGTAAGGTTGGTCGGAAAGTGGGAAGTTGGGAATTGGTGAGCTAGCCAGAGGTGATGGAAACTAGCCAAGCAAATTGTGAAACGACCCTATGGCTACTGAGCTGAATCTTTTTGCCGCAGGAGTTATACAAACAAAATTCCTACCTTGCGCGTCATCTCATATCTTGATTGAGAGGTACAAAGGGTCTGGCTTTGACACGGGGCCAAACAATGTACAATTCTAGGTATGTCGTGTGAAGACCTAATTGAGAGTAGACCTCGTGAAACTGAAAGTAAACGGATTTGAGCCTTTACCGAAGTTACATCCACTTAAAAATTGTTGAGTTTATAGCCCAAATAATTTATTGTTTATCAACGTATCGAGGTTTTTGAAGCCATGTTAAGCGCTAATAGTTTCAGATACATAGCGGGACTTTATGTGACGCACACCCTATCACTTGTGAAGTGAAAATGTCAAAGTTTTCCTGAATCTGATATTCTTTTTAACGGTTCAAAAATTAAAATTCTTTTTGGTCGTAGAGCTGAATACGACACTTGAGGTTCGGAATGGTTGGTACTACACGAGCCATAAATCCGAGCCAAAATCGATATATTCAGTCAGTCATGAACACATTTATGCTAGAGGGTAAAAGCACTTTTGGCGCGGGCACAGACATGCGACAAACTACACGGCATGATCTGTTTGGAGATACCAAGCAAATTTATCACTGAGATCTTTCAACAAAGCTCACAAGGCTAGAGCAGCTGCAAGCGGCCGTTAAAAGCATATGCCTGTCAAAACGGCTATGAATGGCTGAGCTGGAGTGTCCAAAGCCTAATTCTGTTGAGCCGGAAGGAATTAAACGACTGTCACGGGCAACAAAATCAGTCACCTCTAAGACGAAACGTCTTTAAGTAGCGGTATTTAAAGCCAAATCGTCCAAACGACTACTGGTCGAAAGTAGTTTGCCATGGCCCTTATGTTTGTATCATCGGATTGACTCAACCATTTTAATTGCGTGACGGCACAGCTGAGTCAGAGTGCGTCTCACATTGCAAAAGTGTAATGTGTGCGTACAGTCTAAGAAACCACGCACCCTGTTAAACGAAAATTTATCTTTCACAGATTAATCGCAATCACGATCCCATTCTCACCCGCAGAATCCTAGCTTAGAGAATGGTTGCGCGGAGCATGGCTGATTTCACGGCTAATTCAGCCTCTATTGGCTAGAGGTAGAGGAAGTATTTGACTTGAAGACAGGACGCTCAACATCAGCAATCTCACGTTGGAATCCAGTTGTGCTCCAACCGCTGGATCAGGCGCACCTATATGTATCACCAGCGATAGTTGTCGTACGCATCCAGGCGTTCAATTACCACTTTTTGCTTTTGGGCCGCTGATCGCACTATCACATTGAACCAATTGAAGACACAAGCTCATTTGTCTTGAGTGTGTAGGTGAACAATTAATAATTCTTCTCTACTGATGATTAAGTCTAGTCTTTTTTTGTAAGAAAAAAGTGGCGACAATTGCAGTCAATACGATGGGATTTGAAGCTTTGAATTTACGACAGATCATGGGTATGTCAATTCTTAAAGAACGGATCCTTAATGTCTAGCTTTTGAGGCTGGATTAGAAGCTGATACACCGCTTTGAGTTGATGCACTCTCTCATGTGATAAGTGAGCGTATGCCTTCGATCACCAGAAAGACCACACACGATTTCTCCAAGAGGCTTTTCTTATTTGTTTAATATGGTTTGCTGAGAATATCCAGCAGTCTCAAGCCCATTCTGATGTCTCATAAGATATTCATCCTTTGGCATAAAGCTATTTTTCGCAATAAGCTTCTTTGGTGTCGTCCAATCTTATGGAATTTTAAACTTATCAATAACAAAGCAGAGATTTTATTTGAGGTTACAGCATTCGCAACAAGCTTCTGATGTAAAAAAAGAGTTCAAATGTTTGATATCTTTTTAGAATCTTTTTCCTTACCGTAATTTTCCACCACCAACAGTTTCATGGAATGCCAGGTTGACGACATCTTTTCAATTTATAGACACTGATATCTGAGTCTTAGAATTTTTTTCTTTCTTTGAAAAAAAGTATAGACTCTACGTATATTGTTAGATACGCATAACTAACATACAAGGCACCCCACGATCGAAGAAGTATATACTTCTAATCCCTAGTAATTGGAGGCGTTCGATGCGGACGAATCAGAGCTATATGTCGCGAAGAAGGGCGAACGTGGCTAACTGAGAATGAGGTCAAAGATATAAGAGATATAAGTGGCCTGAAACATCTTAGTGCTGCGCGAGCAAGACTACAGCGCATTGGGCTGTCTGATGATCAAGTAGTGGGGGAAGTTGATAAAATTGAGGAAGCAGCAGGAAATGGTTCTGTGAATGTATTGGTTGTTGTTCCGACGTTCGTCATAGTTGAAGAAGTTCGAGAGTCAGAAAAATATCGGCCAGAGTTGATGTACGATCAATGTCGTGGACGTTCTATCCAAATTAATTGCCGAGAATATTGTGCACATATTTTGAACAAGGTCGACGTGTTCTATGTCGAGGAAACGCCTTCTACCCCGATCATGGGTCATCAGGCATGGGGAAATCGCAACTAGCATTTGCACTGGGTGGCCGACGACCTTATTTTACTGGCTTGCTCATATTCTTGGAGTCGGCTCCAAGAGCCTACAACATTTTTTTTCGATATCTAATGCGTTTTTTTAATGGTGAATCCAACAAAGAAGAGATCTTGAAATACAAGTCGAGTGTGTATGATACTGGCCTGTTGTGGACGTACGGATTTATAAGGGCACTGCTTGAATATTGCAGCTCCGATGAGCATCAGAACGCTTTGCGAATGATTCATTTCGACAACCAGACAGTCTTGAAAGTGGAACGACGCGACAAGAAATTATGTTCGCGTTGTGCTTCGTAAGATGAAGGCAGAGCAGAAAAGTACAATTCTTTGTTCTTGATGAGATGACTCCCAACGCAAAAATCGATGCTGGGGGGAAGCAGATGGCCGCCTTTCAACGCAACGTCTTTCGTGCCTATGGTTTGGTGGTTGTCATAATGGGTACAGACTCGAAGATTACCATGCTAGTTGAACAGTCTGGAGGGAGCTACAAGGAGCCGCACAAAGGAATGTCGCTTGGTCCTCGATTTCCTAGGTATCAACTGATGCTAGACAATGATCGAGAGCAACAAGGCTGGTCGAAAGCTGTGAATCAATATCCAGTCCTGCAAGACATTGCTACGTATTCTCATGGGCGGTTTGCGAGGCATTTCGTCAACAAAGTCGTGGAATGCACGCTCTGCGATTTGATGGACGAAGCTTGTGCCGCTGTCAGCTTAAGAACGCATCAGGGCAAGAAATTTCTGCACTGACAAGATGTGAAAATGGCACAGCTGATGGCGATATCATATACCAACAGACAACAATGAAAACGCATCAAGAAATAAGTGCCGACTTGAAGTGGGGGCGTCCGGCATGCATTTGCACTTCGCAAATCTGGTCGATGAACAGCTGACTGATATAACCATTTCAGATGGCACGTTGAAAACAAGCAATATATGCTGGAGACCAACATGCTGCTTTTCGGCAATCGACGAAGATCTCGCAATATTGGGTGGGAAGATTTTACCAAGCTACTATGACCTCGAATCTCTCAAGAACTACTCAACGCAGTATATCTTCAAGTTGACAAAAATATTCTCTGTCCATGAAAACACGAAAGCTGTGTCTAACGACTACAAGATGTTCGAGAATATGGTCGCACATGCAATCT